TTATTTTTATTTTTATTTTTATTTTTATTGTCCGTCAGAGTTACATGTCTCCACGGTATTTTACTCTATCAACGGTATCATCATCATCACTGTAATTTCTAATGCCATTCATCAAATGCTGAATATCGCTATTCTAGCTGTTCTACTTAAGACAGAGTTTTTAACGTGATATTCCTTCTTGACATCCACCTGGCAGATATTCTTGATAGCCATCAATTTCCTACCAGACATTTATATTACAAATTTTATTTATTCACTTGTCATTTGCATATACTGAGGAAGTCTTCTGATAACCCTGGCAACAGTAGRTTTGGCTAATACACGTCTACACCAAAACCAAATCATCTCTACTGTATTCGTCTATTATTTTCTATCTTTAAACCCTCGTAATACAAAAATAAGCCGTCGGTGTTTGCTAAAAGAAATTTGTTATGTCTTCAATTGAGAGAAAAAGATATCTCACATATAAAAGTATATCGTATGGTTATAGTACTGACTTTGCTTCGTATTCAAGTTATTCCAATAACGGTGCAAATTATTCAGTAAAAAAAACACGAAAATAACCGTCACTTAAAACGATTTATAATAATGCTTAGATTAATTCTGTTGATTTTGTATTCTTAAAACACTAGGAGATAAGCCAGGGATTAGTCGGTTGTATTTACGTATCGTTTCGAACTGAAAACGGCCATTCTTTCGACTCGCAATCGTCAATAACAGTCTAACTTTGTATGGAGAAGTTTTTTGTCTAATATTTAATATCACACCTGGTTGCCTTGCTACGTACTTAACCACGCTAAAGTTTATATATATTTTAATCTTTGGGGTTTACCACAGCGAATACTGAGACCTTAGGTTCTATTTTTATGATAATGCCTTTTTATAATAATACTAATCACGATGTATCAGAATAACTTCCTGTTAGCGTATCAGTCGCTATAACATATGATTTATAAGACAAGAGTTACCTTTGTTGCCTTGAATCCGAGTGTATTTTCTTCACCACATTGCCTCAGACGCTCACTCCATCRCTGCCTTTCCGCTATTCCTTGATCCATGTATATCTGTCGAGGCTAGCACGGGCTGCTCTTCCTTGAAGGTCATGTAAACCGGATTTTCGTAGCTACATCAACTTTCAGGTTATCAGACTAGTTTTTATCAGGTCGACCCATGACTTCAGCGATAACCCAGTTGTTTACAATTCGTATTTAGCGAATCAACGATAAACGTTTCGGTAAATAAGGAGATTAAAGTCGACAGGTGAGAGGATTCAGTAAAGTATAATACCAAACTCGACAATGCAATTGCAAGAATTAAGCAGTACAAGGATCGAACTAACTACCTCCGGCGCCCATGTACAATAATTGGGATGGATTGATTAATTATGTGACAAATTTCCGGTTGTCTTTGATTAACACTGAATCACCTGTTGGAAGCACGTTTAATCTTAGAAAAGGATGTAAAGAGTTGCAAGGCGGGTGACTGGACCGGTAGCCGACGTGATACCTGCCGGACGGGAAGAATATTAGGAGCAGTCTCATCTGTCAATTTCTTTTGCGGATCGAAAGATTTGCATACCCCAATTCATCCCGGTTTTCTAAACGCCACTTGAATTAGAAAGAAAACAATCAAATGTATGGTACAGKGATACTGATATTAGTCTCCCACTTCAGTTGGTATATCGATAGTTATAATCAGTAACCATACAACAACAATATAAAAGAAAAAATTGAATAGGGTCGTGGCTAAAGACAAAACAATTGAATAAGACAATCAATTGCATCTCAGTTAAAGTTATTGACTGATTTTTTAAATTTCTTTGAGGCGTCTGTTCTGAACAAACAAGCATTTTAGATACTATCATATTCTCTATTTACCGTCCTTCTCAAGTAAGCCTCAAATGACACCCCCCTCCCCCTCCCCATCATCATGCCCCATATATAGACCCCTTACAGTACTTTGAAATGCAGCTCAATCTGGGGGGCAAAACAATAGGTTCCCATTCTCATCCAGCTGCTTTGGCGTCACATGCAAGGGGTCTATATATAGCAGCGGCTTCAAAAGAAAAGTGTGTGATAAATGCGGGTATATTTACCACCGTAGTTTTCTTACAAATACTAGGCAGTTCTTGAATTCGATGAAGAAACTTGTTCTTCGCTTTTAGCTCACTTGAACCTCTAGCCTCATGTGTCACAACTTCTAGCTCTGCCTTGTTATTTAGCTTCATTCTTCGTTCCCCAATAACCAAGATAAGAATACAAGGGAACCATGGTTACTTAGCTTCATTCTTCGTTCCCCAATGATCCGGCCCGTCCTAGACAAGACAACGTATTTTATTGGCTCCGTATCAACAAATTTACATTGGATTGCTGCCAATAAAAATATAAAATAATTCAATAAACTAATATATATTGACTTCTCGTTTACAATAACTCGATCGCCGCCCATCGATCTATATATAATGTCTTTTCCTTTTTTCACCAAAATATTAATAAGTTGAATTTGTCAAAGATTTTATTGCTTTAGATCATCCCTCTTAAAACAGTCGTGTATATATTTAGCTACTATGTTTGGATTGGTTTGTTTGGGTTTATGATAAAATTAAATTTCTCTTCTTCGCTCACCATTCTACTTTAAAGTTTGCTTCCTCCTTTTATATCTTATTCGGAAGATTTTTCCTTTCTAAAATAAAATTTGAACATGTTAGAAGAATGTGTGCCTCATCTTCTACACCAACCTTACTTACAGAACATAGCCTTTCTTCAGGTTTAGTCTATGGTCGAGTGCCTGCCTACTTCAACCTGAAGACAGTGATCGGCTGATTCTGAGTTTTGTAAGACTTATTCTATGTTTGATATTGCTAACTTCTCTCAGGTATTCTTCTTGCTTATAGACTGTTTTAAACCTTCTATAGCGTTCTCAATTTATTTTTTGTGAATCTTTTCGTCCTTCGTCGTTATATAAGTCGCCAAGCCAAATTTGAAATTCTTGATCTTCGATTCTTCGTTTAATGAGTTTTGTTACAGATATCCACCGATCTTCTTCCTTTTCATAACAATCATGCTGCCTTAAATATCCAAGGCCTAATCTATCAAGAATGGATTTAATTTTTTCAGTCCACATTGATTTAATTTGTTAAAACTATCGTCCTCGGGAAAACAGCTCGCATCAAAAGATAAGCCCTCCCCTCCTTCCCCCCTCCTTCCCCCCTCCT